AGTTAAGAAATAATAATTACAAGTACAAACTATTCATTTGTATGTAACTATTCATTTGATGAAACGAGGTCAGTTTGTCCTCCAGTAGTCTAAGGTTATATATAGCAACATAGGATAAGGAATAGGTCAGGAAACCCAAGCCAACCATAACTATAGGATTTATCAAAAAGGAAAGTCTTAAGCCCTGTCTTAAAACTGGATAATGTGTCAGTCTCACGGACAGAAACTGGAAGTTGGTTCCACAAGAGAGGAATCTGATACTGAAAGATCTTCCTCCCATTCTGCTTTTGGAAACTCTAGGAACCATAAGTAAGCCTGCAGTCTGAGAGCGAAGTGCTCTGCTAGGAAAAAACAGAACAATAAGATCTGTAATATAAGATGGAGCTAGGTTGTTGAGAGCTTTGTAGCATAGAAGTAAGATTTTGAATTCAGTTCTGAACCGGAACTGGAATTTATTGGCGTCTTGAATAGTTTTTCAGTTTCACACCAACACACTGCTAGGCTTTTCGCAGGAAGTTAACTGTTAAAATGTCTAATTAACATGCAACGGTTTATATAAAACAACTATATTTGATGATATTTAGGAAAAAAAAAAAGATCCAGCTGCAACTCACTCACTGAGAATGGTTTTAAAGGTGTTGGCAAGAATTTAGGCTTAAATAAATAAATGGTGTCCAGCAGAAAAAGGAGAATTAAAGAGCAGTGAAGGCCAGATTAAACAGCTTTCTAAGGAAAAGCATTTTGGAGAATTCAATAATATTCTAGCTAGGGAATGGAGGTGAAGATTGAGCAGGCAGGCCAAATAACTTGGATACTTGTTGTAGATGGGAATAGACATGCAGGAAAAAGCTTTGGTAAGCCGAACATGTATTCTGACAATTTTGACTGAGTGGAAAGTAAAGTGAAAATCCTGCTGGGAGTAAAAGTCTCACAAAAAAACAAACTAGAATTAAATGGATGAATTTGCTTTCTTCGTGAGCGAGGTAACAACCTGGTGAAGTGGGAAGCTTCTGATGAAACCGTAATGTAGTCGAGAGTGTTAGACACAAACACCTGCTTTAAGTTCAGGGTTGCATGGTCTCCCAGCTGTCAAACAGCAAGATGCAGGTACCCCTTAACAGCTCATCAGTCCATCACAGGGCTAACACAAAGTGAACAGCTGAGCAAAATCCTCAGTTCACCCAACATGAAGGTCAGGTGAATTGAGAGGAAGTTCATGTATCCAAAGTAAACTGGCACACAAAGAACAAGCAGACTCTACTCTGAAAGTGTTCTTCCAAGATTTAAACCGTAACCTTCCTGCTGTTTGGCAACAGTACAAACCACCAGTGCTTTTCTGTTTTCAATTTGATTTTTGTAGATATTTTTAGACCATATTTAAGCTTAAAAGTCTAGTCCCAAAGACCTGGAAAAGGTTTTATGTTAGTTTTACAAAGCCAGGATTTGTGGTGTGTGCTATGGCACACAATCCCACTACTAAGGCAGAAAAAAAATTCAACACAGCTGCACACACAAGATTAGAACCCAGTCTTCCTGCCACTTTTTCTCCACAAGTCCATTTTAAGGCGAAGGTAGCAACAGACAAAGGAGCTAAGAGGTATGATGTCAAGATGTCAGTGTTGGAAACCATTACTATTACACCTGTCCTGAAAACCTGTTAATAAAATCCCGAACAGGAGCAGTGAGGAGTTTTAGCCTAGTTGAACTATGACATGAAAACTGAACAGCTCTAAATTAATGCAACTCAAAGGGCTCTTAATTTGGTGGCTCAAGGACATCAAAATCGCACTTTAGGATATTTTACTGATCATCTGAACAGTGATGAGAATTCAAGGACTCAATGATTTTTTTTATTGTCATTCCAGCTCACATTTGTATGTTTATAGTATGAAATTAGGACTCAATTAAATTCAATTCAATTCAAAAATACTTTATTAATCCCAGAGGGAAATTAAATGTTGTTGTAACTCATCATCCTGGTTTCATGAAAGAGTTGTTATAGATGCTGATGGCTGTGGGCAGGAAGGATCTCTTGTAGTGGTCTGTCCTACAACAGATCTGAAGAAGCCTCTGACTGAAGACACTCTGTTGTTGTATGACAGTCTGATGAAGAGGATGCTGAGGGTTGTCTATAATGTTCTTCATTTGATGAAGAATCCTTCTTTGAACAATCATCTCCAAAGATTCTAGAGTAGTCCCCAGAACTGAGCCAGCCTTCTTTATGAGCTTGTTGATCGTTTTTTAAGTCACTTGCTCTGGTGCTGCTCCCCCAGCAGATGATGGCAGAAGAGACAGCGCTCTCTAGAACAGACTTATAGAAGATATGCAGCATCTTGTGGCAAACACTGAAGGACTTCAGCTTCCTCAAGAAGTACAGTCTGCTCTGTCCCTTCTTGTAGACGGCTTCACTGTTGCATTTCCAGTCCAGTGTGTTGTCCAGGTGAACTCCAAGGTATTTATATTTCTCCTCCACCTCCACTTCTTCTCCCATGATGGAAATAGGTTTGGACCTGTTCCTGTTCCTCCTGAAATCTACAATCATCTCCTTTGTTTTGTTCACATTCAAGATGAGATGATTGTTTCCACACCAAGCACTTTGGTAACAGTTTCTGTTTTAAATGTGCTCTATAAATAAATCTGACTTGACTTGACTTGACCATGCCACAAAGCAGTCCATCAGTTCCCTGTACTCAGCTTCTTGTCCATCTCTGATACACCCGACCACTGCAGAGTCATCTGAATATTTCTGCAGATGACATGAGTCTGTTTTGTACTGGAAATCTGAGGTGTACAGAGTGAAAAGGAGTGGTGAGAGTACAGTTCCCTGTGGTGCTCCTGAGCTACTGACCACCTGGTTAGACACATAACCCTTCAGTCTGTCAAACTGTGGTCTGTTTGTCAGGTAGTCTTTGATCCAGGTGATTGTTGAGGCCTCCACCTGAGTCTTCTGGAGTTTCTGACAAAGCAAATCAGGCTGGATTGTGTTAAATGCACTGGAGAAATCAAAGAACTTGACTCTCACAGTGATGTCTGCCTTTTCTAGATGACAGTGAGTTTGCTGAAGCAGGTGTATGATGGCATCTTCAACTCCAAGTCCACGCTGATAAGCAAACTGCAGTGGGTCCTGATATGTGCTTGTTTGTCTAGTCAGGTGTGTCAACAGAAGTCTCTCTAGGACCTTCATGATGTGGGATGTTAGGGCAACAGGTCTATAGTCATTGAGGACTGATGGGTGCGTTTTCTTTGGCACTGGAACAAGGCAGGTGGTTTTCCACAACACTGGAACCTTCTCCTGGATCAGGCTAAGGTTGAAGAGGTGCTGCAGAACCCCACAGAGCTGCTCTGCACAGACCTTCAGGACTCTGGGACTGACACCATCTGGACCTGCAGCCTTATTCCGGTCAGTTTCTCCAGCTGCTTCCTCACCTGACTTCTGGAGACGCAGAGGTGGGAGGCAAAGGAGGTATCAGCATCTTCTGATTTGGTTGAAGACCAATATGTAGAAGAAAGGTCCATGACTGAGGTGGTAGATACAGTATTTGAGGTGTGTCAGGACAGCCTTGGGTCAAAGGAGCGTGGTATGTGTGCTTGGCTGTGGGCAAGAGAGGAGGATGCTGAGCTTGTTCCTGAACTGAATGTGTTCAGTTCATTGGCTCTGTCCAGGCTTCCATCCTTCTGATCCTCCTTCTGCTTGAAGCCTGTGATCTTTTTCATCCCTGACCACACCTCTCTGATATTGTTCTGCTGGAACTTGCTCTCTACCTTCTTCTTGTACACCTCCTTGTTTTTTTCTCAGATCCCAGATCAAGAAGCTTAACAATTAACAAATAAATAAATACAAAAGAGTACAAACATTTAGACCTGTCGCAATAAACAATAAACCAACTAATCGCATGATAAATGAAAATTATCGACCTCATTTTTATTTATCGGCTTTATTGTTTCTTCGTGTCTCTCTCTTTCTGAAGACACTGGATGACAAAAAGCTCAACTCCGGTGTTCTTCACTGACCCCTCCCTTTCTCTTTTCTTTTTAAAATTTGTTTTAACGATCCAAAATCACTCTTTTGGATCGTTAAAAGCAGCTAAGCTGAGAATCTAAGCTACGAGCTAAGCCAACAGGCTGACCTTGGGGGGTGGAAAAAAACCACAGTCCTGTCGAAGCTCCAAAATTCACAGTTGAATCCTGTGCCTTCATGTAAAAAGTTATTTTTCTTTGCAAAAAGAAGCTGAGAACTTGTTTACTGATTTTTTATTAAAAGCTTTGTGTGAAAAATGCTAAAAGCTCAAATCCCACCGATCGTCTGCCATTTTGAGAACTGTAAAAACAGGAAGAAGAGACAGCCCATGTCACGTCAAGGGGCCTCGCTCCCATTTTTCTTAAAGAGACACACTGCTCGCTCCCTCACTATCAATCCTTCGGTTCAAACAGTCTTATACTGCCTTCCGGTGGATAAAAAAGGTACTACACACAGAATAAAATTAACCAACACTTCTTCTTAAATTTGACAACAATTACTAATTATTGTCAAATTTCAAACAATGTTATCGTTTATCGCAATAATTTCTTAGACAATTAATCGCCCAGCAACATTTATTGTGACAGGCCTACAAATATATATATAGTAAAGTTTAAAAAAATGTAAGATGACACTGAATGAAGTGCAGCTGGATTTCATTAGTCTAACAGCTGCAGGAAAATAGCTGTTTCTGAGCCTGGCGGTCTTGCTCTGAATCCTCCTCAGCCGCCTGCTTGAGGGGAGGGGCTGGAATATCCGAGGTGCTCAGGTAAAGAACATAAACTAAAATAAATGAGTATTGTTTGTTTTTAATATATGTATGTTGGAAAACAGTACCAGCCTAGAGTCCGAAAATGTGCGATTGGTATTTTCAGTTTTTACATTTTTTGTCAACAACTGATGAACAATAAATAAAAAATGAATGCCAGCTGCTACAATTATCATCAGATCAATAAATGTTAATTTTTCCTTTTTTCAACAGTGAACTGAATTCTAAACTACAAGACACTCTTGAGCAAATAGAGGTATGTGCCCCTCATCTTTATCTCCTATTGTTTGGCAGTGATATCAATGCAGACACGTTTAGCCATGCATAATACCTTGTTCTTATCCTGTGTATTTTCGAAGGTTTTCATTAGAAAAAAGGCAAATTTTACTCCTGTTTTGACATTTTGATATTTCAACTGGATCTGTGAGTTATTGACACAATCAGAAAGTCAATATTATGACTGTGCAAGCCCAGCAAATTATATTTGTTTCATCTCTAGTTGTGTCTTGATGCTTGTGATAAATGATAATGGAGAAGCAATTATACCGGCACCACTGCTGCTGCGCTCCAGTAGAATAATTAGGTACCGTTTTGTCTGCACATGAGAGAGATACAAGCATGTATGCACATCATGCTATGCCTCTTGCAAAGGTTGTTTGTTTGCTCATCGCCTTAAACTAGTGATGAAGCAATGCACAAACCTCTAAATCGTAAATGTACACACTCGAATAAAGCACAGTCAAATTTAATTTGGGGTTTAACACATAGATGTCTCTTGGGTTTATTCCAGTCCTTGTACCCAGCCAATTTTAGAGGATTTTTTTTTGTTTATTTACATTTTTTTTTGTTAAGCTGCTTAACACTGACCTCTAAATCATTTAAGCATAAAAGGCACATAAACCCAAAGGATGGACCGGTGTTGTAAACAATTAACTTAGCAATGACACAACGTAGAACTATATCTTTAGGCACTTTGTTACTGAGAGTCAATGGTTTATTTGTATTTATTTGACTGTCTTCCACTTGTCCAGTTTTATTCTTGTTGTTTTGTCTTCTTTTGAACACACATTGCACAATTTGCCTGGATATGCTGTGTTTTCTGCAAATAGCTCTTTGGAAATCACTTTGTTGGTGAATTAAAATGCTTATTTAATGCTTGTAAAAGTTTCATAGCTTTTGGCATTTTTTATAAATGCAACAAAAAAAAAATCATTATCTCATGTTTTTGTGTAGGGCTGCTACAAACGAAGTGCCTAAAGATACAACTTAATTGTTTTTGTTCTTGGTTGTCCGTTATGTGTCGACACATCACTGGTTCATCACCTGAATTAGAAGGCTTTATACTTGTGTTAAGTGGTTTATGAACTGGCTGTGTGAACTGTCCTGGAATGGAGCAAAAGAAGAGGTAATCTCCAAGGAAAAGAAATATGGATAACTCCATAAAGTCCACAGTCCTGCAAGTTTGTATTAGACTTTTCAAAATTACAAGAAATTATAGAAAGTAAATGATGTAAAGACTAGGGGGTGGCTCAAGATGTTTGCTTAGTGCTGTAAATATACATATTTTTAACAACTTATTATCCAACAGGCTTTAAATTTAGTTACCGTATTTTCCGCTGTACTAGTCACATCTGTCCAAATACGTGTAATAAAGTGGAAAAATCCATAAATACGTCGCTTCACTCTACAAGTCGCATCTATTATGTGTCAGCAATGACGCGTCACATTTGTTACGCGTCATTGCTGACAACCCGGAAATGTGGGCCGGTGTTGTGCCAAAAATTGATGCCAAATGGCGGCCGCGGGAACGTGCACGGGAGGAATTTAACAAGAATTTAACAACATTAACACTTAAAAACAATTATTTGTTTGCTCAAAATTATAGCAAAGGTGTGTCTCGGTCTAACTTTTGCTTAATAAATGCACTTTGACGATCAAATCAAGTTCATTTCAAAAGCAGATGCGCGGAAGTAGGAACACGCAGAGGGACGACTCGCTGTCCATTTCTTCAAAATTTAACAAGATAACCACCTAAAAACATTTATTTGTTTGCTCGACTTTATAGTAAAGGTGTGTCTCAGTTGAAGTTTTACTTAATAAAAGGACTTTAAAGGTCAAATCAGCTGGATTTCAAAAGTGTCGCTGCCTCGGTGCTCCGGGAGTGTGCAGCCTTTGGGTGGAAAAAATGGAGGAATGCTACACATTTTTTCAAAATTTAACAAGATAACCACCAAACACAATTATTTGTTTGCTCGACTTTATATTAAAGGTGCGTCTCAGTTGAACTTTTACTTAATAAATTCACTTCAATGGTCAAATTAGCTGCATTTTGCTGGGGCGGCGCAGTGAAATGAAGCTGATTTGATGGTTGTTCAAAACTAGCTGGACAAAGGTGTCACATTATGGCAAGCCAATTGTGTCATTAATAGCCACTTTTACCTATTACATAACACAACAACATTCCATACTTCTCAAGGGCCATCTAGTGGCTGAAAATGGTAGTGTTCAATGTTTTCAGTCAGAATGAATGAAAACGCTCATATCTCAGACAAAAATTGGTTTATAAATATGGGAAAACATCCATAGAAATGTTGCTTTGGCGTATAAGTCATAGGGCATGCAAATTATGCAAAAAACTGTGACTTATAGGGCAAAAAATAAGATTATTGTATTTCTCATTAATCTATGCTTAACGCATCATCCACAGTGTTCGCTTCACATTCAGTTATTGCCCTGCGTATAACACATAAAGATCAGCTTCATGTGTCTATTCCCTAATTTATTATTATTTTTTAAACTAATTTTACATTCTTTGCACTTCTTTTTTATATACTTAGTTATACATTTTGCCACATTCACATCTAGTTAGCCGCCTTAAACCTGAAATCTTTGCTTTTGCACATCTGTGGTCTTAATGTCAATAATCCTTCTCTTTCCTCCCTCCTCTCTTTTCCTTTGTCATTTATCTGTTTCTGGCTGCAGGAACAGCTTGATGTCGCCTTGTCAAAGACTTGTAAGCACTTCGATATTTTGCACTACACCAAGGTACAGCGTGCCTACTCGCTCCTCGGCAAAACACAGGTCAGTGCTTTGACTGCGTGTCCTTGGGAATGTTTAAATCTAGCTGAATGTGATGGAGCACTTTTTGTCTTCACTTGCTGCAAACGTCCTGTGGTCTGACTCTCTGATCAGGGGAGAATATTACCTGCAATTTGTATAAAATACTGTGTCAATTTCTTTAAATCCTACACACTTATTATTTTTAGTATGCTAATTTAATTTTCAGTTTAATGATGTAAATACTCCACAAACTTTTAGCTTTTAAATTGGAATAATTTGTGTGCAGCCTTTCTCACTGCAGTTTGTTCTTTGGGGCTGTTATAGATAAAAACACGCTTAATTCATTTTTAGTTTTGCCTGTATTGTTACCAGTCCTGAGGCTTTTATTGTTCAAGTACTTTTAGTAACAAGAAAGTCTAAGTAACACATTAATAAACTATATTTATAAAATTATAATACATTATAAGTTTCAAACAGAACATCACCCATAGTGTGATGTTCACAAGTCAAAATGTGTTTGCAGTAGTAAAACTCCTAAAAGTTGACACTGAAAAGTTATTTTTTACCTTTTATATAACTTATATTCATAAGGATGATAGTTAATAAAATATAGCAGAAGTCGTCTTTTACACAGTATAAAACAGCTTTAAAATAGCCATTCATATTTGTCAGACTAAATGACTTTACTTCACTCAAAAGGATGATATTTTTTAAAGTTTAGGAAAAAAGCTGAAAGTAATCATATAAATTGTATTAATTAGCATCAACAAAAATGTTTTTATAGCAGTTTGTGTAGAACAAAATAAACTACTTGAACAATTTTTTAAAATTAAAAGTTATTTGAGATTAACTCTGGTCAAAATGGTTTATAACTGGTTGAACGATCGGTTAAAGCTGGTGTTGTGTTTAATCAAGTAACGTTTCATCCATTTTGCTCAATCTGACAAATGATTTCTTGGAGTTAGTTTGAACTAACTCATTGTTGACCAATCAATTTACAGTTTTTTTTGCAGGCCTGATTCCCCCACACAAAATTTTCAAGAAATTAACCAAATCATAGTCAGGCTGAGACTGTAAAGTTTTTATGTAGGTTTTGTAAATTGATGGCTTGAATTTACATTTGCTATATGCTGTTTTTGTTTCCCATTTTCATTAATTCTTGCAGGCCTTGTGTTCTTTGCAGACTTATCAGTTTTCTACATCACCGGTGAACTGTTGCCCAGGCAGAAGTTTTCATTCTCTTAAGTGCTTCTGTAATTATCAAACACTTTTAGCATCGTTAACCCTGTCACTTCAAACCATTAACATAGTAATTAGTTATCTGAGAACATTTTGATAATGTCTGCATAATCTAGATAAATCTCCATATTCCACCAAGTCAGACGTTTTCTATTTATTTCCTTATTCAGTTCATTTTCAACAAATATGGTATTCCTTGTGAAAAATTATACAATACTATGTGCAATAAGTATAAATTTAGAAAGGCCTTCAAACAGTTGATCACTTTTATTTTTATGAGAATTCTTCAATAAGATTTCAAATCCATCACACACTGGCACACTGGTATATTTTTATTGTAAACAGGACTTTTCATATCGTCTCCTGCAATATTTCAAGCAAATCAACCGTAGCATCATTTTAATTCAAGCACATCTTATTTTACTGTGTGTCTAAAGGGATTTCCTAAATAATTCCAGGATAATTTCAATGTTCAAGCTTCTTTATTGTCATTCACATCACGTGTGGTACATGAGGTGGAATGAAATTATGTACACATATAAACTAAGCATTTGAAATGTCAGAAGAACAAAAATGATGGTGGCACAAACAACATCATCATGAAACAACATGTTGGTGTTTGACTTTTCAATGTATTAAAAACAACTGATAAAACAATTATTTTATGCAAAAACAATTGCAACAACTTTTTAAAATTTAAATACGCCTGGAGAAAAAGAACTGACTAAATTGTAATTGACTAAAATATTGCACTTTGGATGGGGGAGTGGTGGCTCAGAGGTTAGAGAAGGCGAGCCTGTGGTCGAAAGGTCGCTGGTTTGATTCCCCAAACGACAACATCAAAACTTGGATGGGAAAGGTGAAGCACCCACACCTGCCTCCACCCTCATTTGCCTCACTCTGGGCCCTTCAGCAAGGCCCTTAACTCCCACCATCTGCTCCCCCAGGTGCCCTACATGGCAGCCCTCTGCTCCACACAGAGGGCTGTGGTAGCTCGGTGGTCTGTGGTTGTCAGGAAGAACATCTGGCGTTAAAACAACTGCCAAGTCTTCATGTGAGTTAGTTTGCTGTGGAGACCCCTGAAGAAGGGAGCAGACAGAAAAAACAAAAACGCTTCAATTCCTACCTGTTAATTTTAATGTTTGTTCTAATTTTTAAGTATAATATTGAGTCGAGTGGTTCAGATCAGAAGTTTAGATTTGGAGTTCATGCCCCTATTCACGTGGTTTGTAAAAATTCTAGCTGAACAATAAAATGCATTTACTAGCTCTTTAAAAATCTGGTTCATGATCAAGTACATCAAATAATGGCATTGCAGATATTTTTCTACAATTGCAGAATGACAAAAAGCTGAAAGAAGTTTTTTAAAAATTAAAATAACGTGTCAAACATCCTTGAACTGAAGTGAAAATCTGTCCAATTTAGCTCTTCAGAACTGCCAGAGATGTCTAAAAACGCACATTGTAATAAAAGCAAAACCAAGCAGCAGACTGTCAAAAACATTCTTTAACATTTCCTCACTGGACACAAGTTTATGAACTTAATTTGGTTCTTGGTTGTAGAGCTGTACTGGAAATGTGTTTCAGTAGTTTTAATGAATTTTTCATTGTTGTGACATGCAGGAAATAATGACAGATGCAACAAGTAAACACTACAGCTTGTTAAACATGCCATTTTGCTGTGCAGCTTTTCAGTATTTACCAACTAGAATTTATCTGAAAGGGTGGAGAAGCTATAATGAAACAAAATGATCTTCCATTCTCTTCTTCACTCAACAGTGTTAGTCTGTTGTGTTCTGTTTGTCTGATTAGTGCAGGAATATGAAATCAAAGTGTATCCAAACTACCTTAACTTAATAACAGGAAGCATAATTAAGTCCCTTGTATTTACAACTTACGCCAGCGATGATGTCAGTGAATACTCTGCGTGCCTCTCGACATCAGGAGGTGTCCTTGACGTGGAGACTGCGTCATTCAGGCTCATTGAATTGATTTAGTTGTTTTTACAGGGACGGCGAGCCTGTTCAGACACAAAAGTATCTAAAGAGTTTGAATGTGCATTGCCATTTTCCTGAAGTGCTTGTTGTTTTTCGATTTGTTTGTTGAACCCTCTTGACATTCACGTGTGTCACGTTGAGTCGTTTTCTTAGTCTGGGACTTCACTTTTCCTACCGTTTCAAATGTGAAGTGTTTATTTATGTGTGCACATGTCATAGATGCTTTTTATTTTATACCTTTGGCAAGATTCAGTTGACTGGTGTCATACCATGTGCCAACTTTACAAGTGTTTATTATGCTGCATGATGCCACATTGCATTGGCTTTTTACCATCTAGTTGCCTGTTTTCATAATAACAACCTGCACATAAATTATTTTACTTTTTTTTTTTACAGTTTATGATTGTCTTGGTAAATTGGTTGCTGGAGATTAGGTGTAATATTATGTTGTTCTATCTCATCCAAGCAGATTCTCATGCTGTTTTCACTTCAGATGAAGTGAAAGTCCCTTTAAGAACAAGGGCGAGAAATGTTTGACTTACTTCTGTTGCAGCAGGGAGTCAAAATGAACAGGGGACAACATTTTGTGGTCAAGAGCTTGCAGTAAAATAAATTTAATTACACTGCAACGCTGGTACCTGCTGGTACCTGCTGGTTCACTGCTCACTGCTGTTCCCATCACTTTTGTATCTCTGGTGTCCTCGTTTCTCAAGGTTTCAACAGTGAAACAGTCAATATGAAGGGAACAACAGTTTAATTTTCTTTAAAAAAATGTATTTCAGAGGCTATTTCTTTTGTAAAAATAATGCTGGACATATTTAAACACAAAGTACCGTGTGAGGGAGGAGGACTAAAGGTGATTAAAACTCCTGTTTACGTGAATAATTTGTTAATGATCATTAGAAACCTGCATTCATAATGACATTGAAAGTTGGATCAGTTTATACTGATGTTCAGTCAAATGGCTATGTGCTCATGCAAAAAGGTATTAATCTGCCTTCTGGGTACTGTTTTTATTTTAATGATCATTAATTTTTGGTGTTCTGTGTTAGCGCAAAAAGTGCTGTGCATTTCCCAACCAGAATCCAATACAGACCAGATAAACTTCATAGCTGTTTGTTTCATAGATTGATCACCACTAAATATCATCATAGAAACTTATGATGAAAACAACTCATAGAGTTCACTTGAGAAAAGAAATCAACACGTAAATAAGGTGTGTTGTTGAAATATCATTTTATTTGTATTGTGAAAGAAAACACCTTGGTACATTAATAATTAGAGGGTATTGTGTGCAATGTGGAACTTAAAAATAAAATAAGCCTTTATTCATCCCCCAGGGGAGACAATTCCCCTGACAGGGTAGGAATAAAAATGTTTAGTTAATTCAATTCAATTCAAAAATACTTTATTAATCCCAAAGGGAAATTATTTTGTTGTTGTAACTCGTTATTCTCATTTCATAAAGAGATGTTATAGATACTGATGGCTGTAGGCAGGAAGGATCTCTTGTAAAGGTCCATCCCACATTGGATCCTAAGAAACTGGCTGCAGATGCTGTCCTATCCGTCCACGCAGACTCGGCTGGCCTCTCAGTTCGAGAAGGGGTTATTTAGTCGGTTCTCCCGGGCTGTAGGACTGCCCGAATGCCGGACAGAACTCCTCCCAGCGAGATGGTCACTCCTCCCAGCAGTCTGCTGAGCTCCCCATCGCTGCGGACAGCCATTTGTAGGTGCCGAGGGACGATCCTGTCCTTCCGCTGTCATGAGCCATGTTTCCTGCTAGT